GTAAATGAAAAAATAAGCAAAGAGGTGTAGCTGAGGCACACCATGCAAACATTTGACAGCACACACTTGCTGCTCAAAGCAGCCGCGCCCTTAATCACGCATATCTTCGGGTCCTAATGCAATATAAATGGGTGAGTTATATAGAAATTCACCCTTTGTGCAGTTATTATGAACAGGGAATTGGTTGTAGAGGCCAAGAGGCTGCAAGCATGCTTATAACATGAAGTTCCATGGGGGGGGGTGACTCACTTGAAGCCGGCCTCAAGTGGACTTTTTGAGGAACTGCAGTTGCTTGTGACACTTCACACAGTGTTGGCTTCGTTTTTCAGCCCGGGAGCTTGCTGCTTGGTGCAGACATCAGTGCTTTATTGATCTTCTTCTTAGACTTTCTGCAAGAAAGCAAATAATCAGACTTCCCAAAAAATTCAGTGAGTTTCAAATCAGTGTAAACCTCACAGTAAGCTTGCAATTAGCAGCAAATATTTAGTGTAATTAAAATTTAAAAAAAAAAAAAGAAAAGAAAATGTGACGACTTTCTTCACATTTTTTTTTTTACAGTAAAACTGTGAATCTCGTGTCGTTGCGTCTTGCTCTGTTGGTTAAAAAAAAAAGAAAAACAACGCCTGGGTCGTGGTAATTTCCACGATTATCTGACAGTCAATGTCTGATTAATGCAAAAAGAAAGTCAACAATGAAACGCCTGAGCCCAGAAGCCGTGCACAGGTGGATAAATATCGTGTAAGAGGTAATATTTATTCCGGTAACAAAACATATTTATATATGTAGCAATAGGGAATATTAGAGCGGAGCGGCGGAGGGATCAGGCAGTGTGTGGGAGTGAGGAGAGCTGGCATACGTTTAACACCTTGTAGCAGCCTGCGGGGATCTGCTCTAGCGCCATTAACATCCCTGGCACTGTCTTGGATGGGAGAAATTACAGGCCTGGCTGCTCTTCTGTGGAACACTACCTCCTTCCTTCCTTACTCCTCATCCTAAGTCCCCCCTGTTTCCTCCTTTCCACCTTCTCTCGTCCTCCCTCCCTCCCTCCTCTGTGTCGGTGTGTGGTTGGCTCTGCTGTAATCTGACAAGGGTTTCCCTGCATGCAGTCCAACGCTGCCTCAGGGATGTTACGGTATTAGTGTGCGTGTTTGTGTGTGAGTGTGTGTTAGTTGTCTACCATTAACAGCATTGCAGCTTAGTTGCCCCACTGCAGCAGCCAAGAAAAATTATCTGGCTCCCTCTCTGTCCTCCCCTTTTCTTCACGCCTCCCTCTCTCCTCCACCCAGTCTATGTCTTTTAATATTCTTTGTTCTTGACTGCTTTTAATGTCTTTCTCCCCCCCCCCTCCTCTGTCTTCCCTTCTATTCTCAGGGTTGCGTGGTCTGATAAACCTGGGCAACACATGCTTTATGAACTGCATCGTCCAGGCTTTGACGCACACTCCGCTGCTGCGAGACTTCTTCCTGTCCGACCGACACAAATGCGAGATGCAGAGCAACTCCTGCTTGGTTTGTGAGATGTCGCAACTGTTTCAGGAGGTAACTATGAGCTGTCGTTTTGAACAAATGGGCAGAAGAAGAAGGTTTAGAAGTTTTCTCTCACACTCGCCTTCCTTCCACAGTTCTACTCAGGCCACCGCTCGCCTCACATCCCGTTCCGCCTCCTCCACCTGGTGTGGACGCACGCCCGCCACCTGGCCGGCTACGAGCAGCAGGACGCCCACGAGTTCCTCATCGCAGCGCTGGACGTCCTGCACAGACACTGCAAAGGTGAGGTCAGACACACACGGACACAATTTTATATAACTAGAATAAAAGCAGCGAAACTGAGAGAGACGCAAGAAAGAGAGGAGGAGAGCTGGTTGGAGCGAGGGATGAGTTAAGAGAGATGAGAGAGATGAACAGACTGACAGAGGCGCAGTACTCTCTGTCTCTCTCTCGCCGGTTTATAAGCAGAGTGGGTGTCTGTGAAGTTACACAGCATTGCTTTTAGTGACAGTGTGTGTGTTTATATCCACACAGACGACAACGGGAAGAAAGCCAACAACCCGAACCACTGTAACTGCATCATCGACCAAATCTTCACAGGGGGCCTGCAGTCTGACGTCACCTGTCAAGTCTGCCAGTAAGTGTGTGTGTGTGTGTGTGCGCGCAGGAAAACAAAACGCACCCTGAAACATCATTTATGCTTCACCAGAGACTGTGTAAAGAGATTAGACTCTAATACAACAAAGCCGCGGCTTTTGCAGACTGCTGCGCTGTCTTTACCGAACAGTTCCACCATGCAGTCAAACGGCATCAAAAGTCTCTAAAACAGGGGCTCGCACGTTTGGGTTTCACACCTCAGCAATCTCGCCTCTTGTGCACTTTGGAGGAGGAGGAGGGAGGGGAGGGGAAGGGAGGGGAGGGAGGGTGACGTCATGCGTTACCAAACTGCATGCGGTGAAAACTTGAGGAAAGTTGTGAAGCAGCAGCGCCAGCCCAGCCAATCAAATCGCATCTCAGTTTGAGTCTCTGCGATGTACGCCACGTCAATCAAACAATCCTCGGACGCGTCCTCAACAAGTAGTAATGTGCCTAATTCCCTCTGTTGAGGTGACCCCCCCCCTCCAACGCCACCCCCGCCCCTCTGCGTCCCCGTCCTCTATCTACCACATATTGCGCCATCAATCACACACACTGAGCTGCTACACTGCAGCAACAGGAAAAGCCTTTCCTGGCAGGCCGTCTGTAACGCTGATCTCTAGTTCCACCTGGTGGTTTGTTGAGACTATTGGAGCTTTGTGATTTGACAGACAAATTGAAAAAAAAACAAAAAGCTATAAAGTGCAGCTCAAGTGCTCCTTGGCATCGATTCTACAAGTCTCTACTGAGGGGAAGAACACTGTTCCACCAAAATAAATCCTCTCATTCGCTGTTTTGATGATGGTGGTGGAGAGGGCGTCAAGATTTACATTATTCTGTCAATCATATGTACACTCACCTAAATACACATTTGCTAAAATAACAGAGATTCTTAAAGAATGTGCAGCTACAATCTCTGTATATTTTTCCCCTGATTTACTAAGATGTTAATGCTCGAGCGCTGCACTGACCCCCGGACAGGCCTCCAGACGTGGGCGTGGAGATGGTATTAATATATCTGATGAGTCACTAGAACACTGAGGTAAATACAGTCCAGTGTTCAATGTAAAGACCTTTATTGATTTTCACCGTCAGACAATTGCTGTGAGGTTTATTTCAGGTGTAATGAAGGTAAAGCTCTCTGCCCCTGTTTACTTTTACTTAATTTATTATTTACTTAACCTATTATTCAGCTCCTCACTCTTATTTTGCCAAGACTTTAGTTACACATAATGTAGCTGCCTGTATGTTTTTGCAGTGCCTCTGCTCTTTCATGTCAGTTCGATTTCTTTCCCCACTAGAAGTGTCCTTGTGGGTGCCATAAATCATATCAGTGCTGTACGATACTGATGATTTTTCCACTTTCACATACTGGATGACCTTTGCAAGTCCAGTAGAATACATAATCAACCTCTATCTTGAGCACATGTAAAAACATAAACAATTTGTGTCAGTGTCACTACTGCGCAGGCTCTGCTTGCAAATAATGTAAATCGCGCAAGACGGCAGTTCAATTCTGTCGTAACGTCTATCAATTCAGCTGTATTACATATTGGCTCGATCCCACCTTACCGCAAACGCAATGATTAAAAAGAAGCACCTCGCAGACGCACAAAAAAAGAGATCAATTTGCTCGACAAGAGTAAACCTGGCTCTGAGAACTCCCAGCAGCTGATAGCGTTGTCTAGTGTGACAGCGTGCTATTCCCATCACAGTATAATTTACTTCCCTGACGTCTCACAAGCAGGTAATTGCATTGAGTGTAACAGTCAGTGAGTTATGGTGCCAAATCAACAGTCAGTGCTTTGCGTCTACATTCAGCTAAAATTGTTGAAATAATGTCTGAAATGGGTTTGTCATTTACATCTGGGGAGAAACTCACTGTTAAAGTGTTGTTTTCCTATTTTCTGCAGCCATCAATACACTCACTCATTAGTTAGGCCTGATGTTGAAGCTCAAACACTCTGACCTCAAATCTTTTTTTTTTTGCTCACTGTTCCTCACTGCACCTCTATGGAAACAGCACAACCATGACTAGAAGAAGAGGGAACTCAAAATGTCTTAATTAGGAAAACAAAACCTTGTCAATTAGCTGTTCCCTTTAAAAACACAGCCTGCAGTTCAGCTGAGTTTAGAACTTTTATCCATAACATTGGGTTTACGAAACAGGGATTAGTTTTGCATTGTGCAACAGAGCTCTGGATTTATTCATTTTAAGCCTAGCTTTGTGAAACTGTAACTAGAATTAATCTAAGGTTAAAAATAATCATTGTGGGTGCAACCTGACATACAGTCGTCCTCAAATGTGTTCATACCCTTCCATTAAAGAAAAGGCAAAATTCACAATAGTCACTCAAATAACTAGAAACTGAAAAAAGCAATAATAAATATACATTTGTTCAATTATTATATAGTGAAATAAGACATTGCTTTTGAATAGTGGTTGAAAAGAATAGTTTAAAAAACAAACAAAACAGGCAAATTAGAGCACTTTGCTGATGAGCAGTGGGCCAAAATCCAAATAGCTGTCAACAGGTGCAGAAGTCTGATTGAGAGTTACAGAAAACACTCGATTGCAGTGATTGGCTCAAAGAGTTGTTCAACAGAATATTAGTTTACGGGTCCCATCATGCTTGTTTTTTTGTATATAATATTTCTGTTGAACCACAATTCAAAGCAATGTCATGATTTTCATAAAGTTTTTATTTTTTATTACTTTTGTCGATTTCAACTTATTTCAGTGACTGTTGTTTTTTTCCTTCTTTAATGGGACGGTATGAATACATTTGAGGAATTTAAGTGCACCTGATGTAGGGAACAGATGGGAAGATTTACTAATCAACACACAGCAAGTCTTTGAAACAATAATAGAATTTTGCATCACTGATAGTCTCTCAGAGTTGTAGGAACTGGTGAGTATAGCGTTTCATAATCATAAAGAAGGAACCTGGACTTTAAAATACTCCAGCCGTAACTTTATTAGGTCAATGTGCTACATCATTTTCACCTCCTCTCTCCCCAGTGGTGTTTCAACAACCATAGACCCGTTCTGGGACATCAGCCTGGACCTCCCAGGCTCCTCCACACCATTCTGGCCCCTCAGCCCCGGAGGAGACGGATCAGCACTTAACGGAGAAAGTCACACCACTGGAGCCACGACGCTCACAGACTGTCTGCGCAGGTAACAAATGTTGGTTGAGAATATCTGCTGAGAATTTTCTTTCCTGCTATGTAGTCCGAAAACAAAAAGCATACAATAGCTGTTTGTTTATTTGTTTGTTTTTCAAAACAAACATGCACCGCTAAGTCACAAACTTCCTAGAATCACCACACTCAAGTCCTAAGGGGGCCACAAGTAACAAACAAACCCTGAAACTAATCCTTGTCCTTCCCATATTCACTGGAGCAGAGACCTCAGGAAGCAGCAGCACTGATAGAAGTCCACACACACACACACACACACACACACACACACACACACACGCACGCACTAAATCGCTTCTTCTGCCACATAGGTTCACCAGACCAGAGCACCTCGGCAGCAGCGCCAAGATCAAGTGCAGCGGTTGCCATAGTTACCAGGAGTCCACCAAGCAGCTGACCATGAAGAAGCTGCCCATCGTGGCCTGCTTTCACCTCAAAGTAAGATGTTTGGCTGCTCATTTTTTGGGGATGCTGTGGATAAGCAGAGACGTGTTCTAACACTCGTCGTGTGTGTGTGTGTTTTCAGAGGTTTGAGCATTCGGCCAAACTACGGCGGAAGATCACTACTTATGTCTCCTTTCCACTGGAGCTGGACATGACTCCCTTCATGGCCTCGAGGTGAGCACTGCGCAAAAGAAGAAGAAACCGAGTCAGAGGATGAAAAGAAGAAGAAAGATAATGACCGTCTATGTTGCAGAAAACATGTTTCACAGTCTTGGATGTAGCACCAAAGTCTGTTCAATTAACACGAATATCAAGAGTATTTGCTGCTCACAAAATGTTACAAGCATCAACTTTTTTTCAAACGGGTTTTAATTCCTAAGCAGATGTTTATCCTTAATTAACCACTGTACAGATTGATGGTTGTACCAGAGTGTGTACGATGTCTCTGTTTTGGGATTTCGCCTCAAGGGAGGAGAAAAACAAAAAAGACCTGTCAGTCATCTCCAACAACTTTGATGCTTCGTATCTGTTCAAAGCGCATTTTCAGTTCATATCCTATTTGTTTACATCCCTGCTGAACATACACTCCGGTATGCCAATACAAACACAGGAATTAAACAAAAGACGAGGATCCTGAGCTGCACAAAACAGAACATCACATAGCGGCGAGTGTTTACTTTGTTTTTTTTCGGCCGCATTGGAACAAACAAGCCACTTTAAAAAGAAAAAAAACAACTTTTATTTGCTGACACCGAGAACAGTTGGTGTTGCTGGGACTGAGTCTGCTCCGCTCTGCTGTGTGTTTCAGTAAAGAAAGCCGGATGAATGGGCAGTACCAGCAGACTGTGGACCCCTTCAACAACGACAACAAGTAAGACAAACGGCTGCTTCCAACACGTCCAAAGCTCGTCTGACTCATCAGATGTGGATTGCCGCTATAAGCCTGCCGTTTCTCTTGTGCATTTCTTGCAGTTTTGTTCCCGTCTTTCTGCTATCTGTTTCAAAACCACTTTTACAATGACAGCAACTTCCGAGACTAATCCAAAGTAATCAGAGGGCTGTACTGTGAAGCAAGTTTGACATAGCCGGGCTTTCTTTGTGTAAGTCGGCTCGACAAAAACAAAAGCCCCAGCCAGAGATCACGGATATCACGAAGGCAGTTGTCAACTTTCTTTGTCAACTCAGGCTTTCTGCTTCAGACTCTGTGTGTTCACATAAAAATGAGACATTTAACGCATCATGTGACTCTTCTTCTGCACAAAACGATCGTGTGCAGCTGCTTCAGTCACGTTTTCTTGAGGAATATAAAAAAATGATGATGGTAAAAATCGCAGCTACTGCAAATGGTGCAAGACAGAAATGCTGGTAGGAAACTGTTAAACATGTTAATATATGATATTTTACTGATGCAGCCATTTATTTTAGACTGACAGCTGCACGTTAAAGTTACACTTTAAACTTCATACATTTAAACATGATCTTGTACTGAAGTGCACTTAGGGCTGACACTGTCCCATAATGCAGGATATCACTTTAGGTTTTGGCCAAATCAAAGTGAAATTAATGTTATTGATTGAATATTCTCTGTAATAAATACCAGTAGAATAATCTGTGTTCTAATCTGTGTATCAGCTCCAGCAGCAGCAGTGTAAATGGACTTGACAGCAAGTCAGAGCCAAACATAAAAACATATTTATGTGATTTCTACATCACCAACTAAATCCCTGTCTGGTTCCCATGGCACCACGATATTTACAGTGTGTGATATTATAACTACACGGCTTCATTCAGTGATATTAGTAACGTGCAACTCAACAGGTTTACAGATGAAACACATTCCCTCAGCTCACAATCTGTATCGCTGAAAAACAAGTCAGTAGACAATTTGGTTAAAGGAGGCGCTCTTTCCTGCTGATTTAAATCCAAAACTCTGAACATAACCTGCTCCCGACCAGGTTAGCTCCACAGCATCAGTTGCCATGGAGATCTAGCCGGATAAAACAAGAGCCATCTTTGTGACACTGAAAACTCTGGCTTTATACTCAGCATACCTCAATAACCCACTAATCTCCATTCGTAGTTCAGCCCTCTGGTCCTATTAATGATCCTCCTGTAAACAGAGCTGGCAGATTGGATTTGGGCTCTTGTGCAGCAAACACTTTGTTGACATGAACAAAGCCTGTTGGTTGGTGTACAGCTTCCTCCTCCCCACATTCATTCTACTCCTGCATTTCGTGCTTCCGTCTCTTCTCCCAGTTGCATTCATTTTACTGGAGAGAATCCACGACCTCATGTTTGGAATTAATTCTAATGAAATGCAGGTTATGAATTTATAAACTGCACAGATCAAACGTCTCCCTTCTGTAGCTGTTCGCTCACTTTCAAGCTGCAATTTAAAGAATTTGACATTAATGTAATGTCTAATCCTACATAACCTTGTCCAGGCACATATTGATCGCAAAAAAGTAAGTATCAATCATTTAGAGTAGCTGCTTACACCAAATGCATTATAGTGTTAGCCTAACTGCTCCTCGAGTCTCATTTGTCACCCCAGATCTGATGGATCAAGTTCATTCATTGAAACCAGGTTTCAGGGGATGCACCTACAATACATGGAAAAAGAATTGAGAGTTTACTAAAGTCTAAATATTTTTTAAATAATGTTCAGTTTTGTTTTGTTTTTTTAATTGGAGAGATGCATCTGTTTCACATCAGAATATTTGCAGCAGTGACATTATTGTGTATATAAATGTGTTGTCCATGTCTGTAATTGGTAAAGTAAGCATCAGTGTGTGGGAGCAGGTAGCACTACGACAAGTAAAACATATTTTATTGCACCAGAAGTTGCTGCACTTTGATGGTCATCACACATCGACAGAAATGTCAGTATAGAAATCCTAAATAAACTGGATGTGTTGCCTAGAGGGGGACCTCTTCCCCTTAACCCTGTAACGCCAAGTGTATCCTTTTTAATACATGATTTTTTGAGACCTGGACATCATCAGTATGATGTTTTTATTCCTGAAAACCCTGATGTGTACAATCAGACACATGCAGTGCACAGATAAGCCACCATTGATTTGTAATTCATGCACCAAATATGCTGAATGTAGCAAAGACGATACAAATTAAACTCAGACATGAATTTTTTATTTATTTATTTTTTTGTCAGAAGGTTTGATAAACACTGCATTTTCTTTTTTTTTATTTGAATTTTCTGGCAATTATTTCATGGTTCAGGTTTTACCAAGTTAAATATTCTGCAGCGTCTCTTATCTTTTGAACCAAAATCACCCTGTTAACCAAATTCTTAACTGTACTTGTATTAGTCTGAGCACATCAACAACGTTAACAACAGTATCTGATTCCTCTCTTATATTTGCATAGATTTCCAATGAACTACACTACCACAGATTGGTAGAATTCTTTGACATCAGCATCTAGTTATTGTGTTTCGTTGCTCTGTGTCACCCCAAAGTTTCTCCATTTTCTGTTGCAGGTACAGTTTGTTTGCAGTGGTGAACCACCAGGGGACACTAGAGAGCGGCCATTACACCACCTTCATCCGGCAGCACAAGGACCAGTGGTTCAAATGTGACGACGCCATCATCACCAAGGCTAGCATCAAGGATGTGCTGGACAGTGAAGGGTGAGCGCGTCACAGATTCAGATTCGTTTTATTGTCATTGAAACAAGTACAATGGAAGGTGCAGGCCTTTCAGTGCAAAAACAGAAATATAAAAACTTTGTAAAACAACTATATACAGTATAAAAGAAATAAACTATATAAAAAGATGACATTAAATAATAAGCACGGTGTATATTGCACAGAGTGGATATTGGACAGAGTTGTATATTTATAATATATTGCACTTGTTGTGACAAGGAGGCATTTATGGCTCTGACAGCAGTTGGAAAAAAGCAGTTTTTCAGTCTGTTAGTCCTGGTTCTGGTGGCCCTGTACCGTCTGCCCGATGGCAGCAGCTCAAACAGGGAATGTCCCGGGTGGTAAGAGTCCTTCAGGATGGTGTCGGCTCTCCTGAGGCAGAAAGAGCCATGAAGGTCCTCCAGTGTGGGTAGAGGGCACCCAAAAACTTATTCCACTTTGCCTTTGTGTGTCTAATAGACAACGACTGCTCCCTTTTTGACCAACACCACCACCTGACCCCGTGCTGTTTTCATCTCCACAGGTACCTTTTGTTTTACCACAAACAGTTCCTGGAGTACGAATAGCTCCCTCCCATCAGTGTCAGCCTGCAGGAGGAGCCGAAGGAGGACGCGAGGATTAGTTGCATGGGAAAAGGTAACAGAGTGACGAGAGAGGCAAGGAAACAGAAACACAAGCCTACCTTAATCCCTCAGAGTCGCAACTCCCACTCTAACATGGACCCA